CTGTGCAACTTTGATTAAAACTGTATGTTTGGAAGTTATTCTGTTGCACTTTCCAAAATCTAATTAATAACCTTCCATAAATGATATAGGTATACAACTCATCAGAACTGGTTTGAAATTTTTGCTCCAACAAAGTGATAGCCTGGCGTTTGTAAAATGGAAAAAGGATACTGGTAATGTAAATGATAGTCTCAAAAGGCTATTTACAGACTTTTGTTGTGCAAAAGGAACTTGTATTGTAAATTTTAGCAAACAAGTAAGTAGCACCTTACCAGTTGTGCTTTTTTCTTGTGAGTTATTATTAGTCAAGTTATATTATCCTGTTATGGGACATATTGCACACAATTTGAGTCAACAAAGTCAACTGTTTTGTTTAATACTTTTATTTCTTTTGCAGCATGCTGTAGAAATTGCAGCCTTTTCCGGCTTTCTCTGTGCTCAAGGAGGAGGAAAAAGAGCGTGTGAACAGGTCTAAACATGGGTTAACCTCACTCAACACTTTCTTTTTCCTTCTCCCTATTTGCTTGACTTTAGTTGGCAACAAAAGTCTTGTTTCCATGACACAAACAACACAGCATTTAATCACTCAGTTATTCAATCAGTTTTTACTCCTGTGATTGTTTTTAAGCTGATATCTTTTGAGTGAGTGTCTATTGACCTTTTCAGTTCAAACAGTGTGTGTGTGTGTGTATACAAGTTCACTTTGCTGAAATGTGTGCTTTAAATCTAGTATTTTCTCTCGTTGTCATAGGCTTTGGTTAAACAAAAACTAAACCTGGCATTCATTTCTAGGTGAATAATTACTTGCAGCATAACTGCAACTACAACGAAGTTACATAAAGTAGAAATATTCGATGACAAATAGACTGCTTCACTGTTATTATTTTCCAGTACTTTAAACGCGCCTATGTTATGTTCTTTGCCAGACTGTTTCTTATACGTATATGTTAAAACAACAGAAAAAAGTAAAAGTGTCACGCTACGGCGGTCCTGTTGTCCTATTGTGTCCGTATGGGCGCGGTTTATTGCGCAGGGCAGGGCAAGGTGCGCTTTCTTCAGACTGCACGTTCGGCGGCTGTCGAATTTCACTTATCTCCCGCGGAGCCGTCGGGACATTTAGAAAAATGTCGAAAGGAAACCCGTTAAAATCTGTCATTTCCATCGGGAATGTGGACGACACGTCACTTGCGATGCCGTCGGTTAACCAGAACCGAAGCGCACAGCAACGTGTCCTGGAGCAAGTTCAAAGTATGAAGCGGACAAAGTCGAAGTCCAGCACCAGCAGCAGGAGTGGATCTACTTCTTTGTCTCCAACAAGTAAGATCAGTCACGACACCCAGAGCACAGATACAGCTTTGGACGCTTAGGAGTATCAAGGAGGAGATCTTGGAGATTGTGAGCCTGAAAGTGAAAGAAAGCAGTTAAAAA